AACATTGCTTGGGATTAATACAAATAGGTTTGCCATATGATGAGGGGATGAATGGAAGTATCTTAATATTTTATTACCTTCCCCCCAAATAAACTTAAATTTTGGGAGTCTTTTCTGTTGTTGTCACATAAGGAAATTTAACTGACTCCTTTCCCGTCATTTAATTTTCATTAAAATGATGGCCTGTCTATTCGATAAACTTGTGACCTGAAGGGGATCCTCAGCTTAAGTGGAAGGAATATTAACTGTATTCTGACAAATGCAAAATACGGCACTTGTGGCTGGGCGCGGTGGCTCACACCTGTAATCCCAGCACTTTGGGAGGCTGAGGCAGGCAGGTGGATCACCTGAGTTTGTGAGTTCGAGACCAGCCTGACCAGCTTGGAGAAACCCCGTCTCTACTAAAAATACAAAATTAGACGGGCATGGTGGCGGTTGCCTGTAATCCCAGCTACTCGGGAGGCTGAGGCCAGAGAATTGCTTGAACCAGGCAGGCAGAGGTTGCAGTGAGCCGAGATTGTGCCATTGTACTCCAGCCTGGGCAACAAGAGTGAAACTCTGTCTCAAAACAAAACAAACAAACAAAAAAATGACACTTGTGGGCTTCTTTTCCTTTCCCCCCCTCTTTAAGCAATTATCAAAGCTATGAAATACAACTCCTTGTTAAAGCTGATTATAGGCCAGGCACGGTGGCTCACACCTGTTATCCCAGCACTTTGAGAGGCCGAGGCAGTTGGATCACTTGAGGCCAGAAGTTCGAGACCAGGCTGGCCAACATGGTGAAATCCTGTCTCTACTAAAAATACAAAAATTAGCTGGGCATGGTGGTGCATGCCGTAATCCCAGCTACTTGGATGGTTGAGGAACATGATTTGCTTGAACCTAGGAGGTGGAGGTTGCAGTGAGCTAAGATTGTGCCACTCCATTCCAGCCTGGATGACAGAGTGACACTCCATCTCAAAAAAAACAAAAAACAAAAAACAAAACAAAAAAAAAGCTGATTGTAATAATTAAAAACACACCCCTTTCATAAGGATGAAAAAATTACAGATTGTTTGGAAAGCATTCTTTCTAGTCATGTGTTACTGTTTTGGAGATATGGGCTATTTTTAAAGACTATAATACTATCCCTTTTCCATTCACATGTTAATAGAAGTCTGGAAAATAAGGCATTCTTCTGAAATTTTCAGGGTTTTTTATTATATGTCAAGTTGTAAACAGCATTCTGTGACAGGTATTTTCTCTCTTTGTCTTTTATTGAGCTAATTAGTGATTTACACTCTAGTAGCATCTCTTCCAGCTTTACTGTGTGAAAATGTCTGCTACTCTGTGCCTTCTATGCAGCCAGGGCTGGCAAATGATTGGGGGCAGATGTTGGTTAGCACATCAGAAGGATCAGGAATAAAATTCATTTTTCTTTTGTATTTTTAAAGATATGTTTTAAAGGCTTTTGTCTATATCTTTGCCCCACTCCATTATCCCCTACCCTCATTCAAATAGGAATGTTATGACCTCCGTAACCCAGAGCTACTGTTCTTGATTCAGTTTTGGATTGTTTTCTATCCTGTTCCCACCCCCACCGAAACGTTGTGTCGTGGGATTTAGGGAGGATTAGCACGGCAGTCTGGCATAGTTTAGAGCCCAGGAAGCTGGTCTTCACTGCTCCCTCCCATCATCAGAATACAGAGCTTTCAGTCATTGTCTTTAGAACCCAGCAGTGCTTCTCTTGCTGGGCAAGTTGTGTGAAAGATGGGAGGGCAGCACTGTTGCTAGTGAGTTAGAAGGTTACTTTTGTATGATGCTCGTATCTTTCCAAAGGAAGGATAGGCTCTGCTGTTGTGTTAGCTTTTTCAAAATGCAGCAGAGAATGGCAAAAAGATAATTTATAGCTTGGCTTTAGCATTTTGTTGCATTGGTGTCCTGCTCTTTCGTGCCTCCTGCTCTGTCTTTCAGTCTCTAACATGGGAAAGATGTGTAGGATATGTCATGTGCTCACTTGGATGGACCATGTGGGTGCATTAAAATAGCAAGAGCTTTGACTTTGAAATAAAGTCTTTAAGGATCAATTTGTTTTGTAGATATAAATTGTAGTTGAAAATGAAAGGAAGAGTAGATAGGGGTTTACTGATTTATCAGCTTTTTTTGAGACGGAGTCTCACTCTGTGACCCAGGCTGGAGTGCAGTGATGCGATCTCGGCTCACTGCAACCTTCATCTCCCGGGTTCAAGTGA